GCGGAACATAAACTAAAAACCAGGATTCAATTCTATACATGAAAACTATATGAATTTCTACTATACAAAATAAGTAAATACATACCTTGATCCATGATAGTATGAAATCCTCTTGCAAGAAAGAGAAATCTTGAATGGAAGATTTTGATCTTTAAGTTCTTTACTTGTCTAAGATCTTCAAACCACTTCTCTCTCTCTCTAGGCGATGTGAGCGTTATTATGGTGACAGCTTGAGTTTTTTATGGAGAGTGTGGTTTGGGACCTTACACTATTTATACTAGTATTCTTTCCATCAAAGAATCCATTGATTCAATAAATTTCATTAAATAGATTAATGTATCTTATACATTCATGATACATAATGCATCTTCTATATTAATGAATTCATAATAGATAGATTAATGTATCTTATATATTCATAATAGATACATAATGCATCTTTAAGATTCATTCATAATGAATCTATTACATTCAATGCATTATCATTAGTCTTCTATACATTATGTATATATAGTTGCATTCATCCATAATTAGTCACCATCTAATTGATGTACATGTATCTTACTTAATGAGATAAATCTAGTATAATCATGCATAAGCCACATTAAGCCATATTTAGGAAAAATTCTTACAATCTCCCACTTGGCTTGCATGATTATATTACGTCACTAGATTATCATAATATGGCCAACATTCTCCCACTAGAAGATTGCACCATCACCATTAGATTCTGTTCAATGAAATTATTATCACCAAATCATTGTAGTCAGTGATTTACACATTGATCAAGACTGTATAATGGTTATAGTGTTAATATTTTCCATCAACATGAATAAGTGAATCTTAAATCACAGAGATGACATTAGCAACATAATGGTGATTAATGCTAATTCATCTATAACGGTCCCATTGTTTACATTTTCTTCTAAATTGTGCACAAGTATGAAGAATGAAAACAACAAACATAATCATTACTAACAGAAGATGATTATAACATAACATTTATCCCGAACATAATACACTCATTTCAAGTCTAAACATGATAAACTTTCTACTAAGCCTATGCGCGCAACATGTTCTTGAAAGAGCTTAGGTGTGAGACCTTTAGTTAAAGGATCTGCTAACATTAGTGTAATACCAATATGAGAGATGAAACAGTCTGATTCAGAACTGTTTCTTTAACAACTAGATACTTGATATTAATATTCTTTGATCCTCCTGAAGTTTTGTTATTATTGGAGAACCACACAGCAACATCATTATCACATTAAATCTGTAAGGGCTTTAAAATTGAATCGACAAGTTGTAATCCAGATATGAAATTCTTTAGCCATACTGCATGACATGTGGCTTCATAATGAACTCTGCCTCCATATTGGAAGAAGCTGTCAGAGTCTGCTTATGACTCTTCCATGAAATGGGTCCATTAGCAAGCATAAAAATGTACCCCGAAGTGGACTTTCAAGTGTCTTTACATCCAGCATAATCAGCATCTGAATAACCAACCACTTCAAGGCTGTCTGTTCTTTGATAAGTAAGCATGTAATCGTTAGTGCCTTGTAAATATCGCAACACTTTCTTAACTGCTTTCTAATGATCAAGTCTGGGATTGCTTTGGTATTGACCAAGCATACCAACTACAAATGCTATGTCAGGACGTGTACAAACTTGAGCATACATAATGCTCCCAAATACAGAGGCATAAGGAATTTCTTTCATTTGTTCCCTTTCTAAATTATTTTTGGGACACTGAAATTCACTAAATTTATCACCCTTAACGATAGGGGCAACACTACTTGAACAGTTCTGCATGTTGAACCTTTTAAGAACCTTTTCGATATAGGCTCTTTGGGACAATCCTAAAATACCATGAGACCTATCTCGGTGAATTTCTATCTCAATGACAAAAGAGGCTTCACCAAGATCTTTCATTTTAAGATTTATCGTAAGGAATTTCTTTGTCTCATGTATCATTCCCAAATTATTGCTAGCAAGCAATATATCATCAACATACAAAACTATAATGCAGACATTGATCAACCACATTATCCTTAAAATCAAATTTGGTGAGAACTTCATGAAATTTAAGATAGCATTGTCGAGATGCCTGCTTTAGACCATATATGGACTTCTTAAGCCTACAAACCATATTTTCCTTGCTTTTATCCTTAAAACCTTCAGGTTGGTCCATGTAGACCACTTCATGCAAGTCACCATTCAAAAAAGCTGTTTTAACGTCCATTTGATGTAACTCTAAATCATAATGAGTTACTAAGGCCATGACTATTCTCAAGGAATCTTTATTAGAAACAGGAGAATAAGTTTCCTTATAGTCTATCCCTTCTTTTTGAGTATATCCTTTAGCAATTAATCTGGCCTTGTATCTTTCGACATTGCCTTTAGGATCACGCTTGGTTTTAAAAACCCATTTGCATCCACGCTTGGTTTTAAAAACCCATTTGCATCCAACAGTTGTGGCTTCCTTAGGCAATTTTACAAGATCCCAAACATTGTTGTCTTTTATGGATTTTAACTCGTCTTTCATGGCATTTAACCATTGAGTTACATTTCCATTTTTCATGGCTTGGGCATAAGAAACAGGATCGTTCTCCAAGCCTATATCACACTCATTTAGGTAAACCTCATAGTCATCTGATATGGCTGGTTTCTTTTCTCTTTGTGATATGCGTAAAGGTTGTTCTGCAACTGGGACATCCTCGTTTCCAATGTGAGAAATCTCTTGTGTACCAATAGGTTCAGGTACTACATTTTCTTGAATAATCGTGAAAGGCGTAAAATCACGATTTTCTTCCAAAGAAACATTTTTGAGATTCATACTCCCACTAATGTTTTCATCCTCTAAGAACACAGCATTTCTAGTTTCAACAATTCTTGTGCTATGAGTGGGACAATAGAATCTAAAACCCTTTGATCTCTCAGGATATCCAATGAAATAATAACTTGTAGTTCTAGGGTCTAATTTCTTTATTTGTGGGTTGAAAATTTTTGCTTCAACAGGACAACCCCATACATGTAAATAATTCAAATTAGGTTTCCTACCAACCCACAACTCATAAGGAGTTACAGGCACAGTCTTACTAGGAACCCTATTAAGAACATGTACAGCAGTTTTTAAAGCTTCACCCCACAAGTAATCTGGCAAAGAAGAGTTACTCATCATGCTTCTCATCATGTCCAAAAGAGTACGGTTTCGTCGCTCAGCTACACCATTTTGCTCAGGTGTACTAGGCATTGTGTAGTTAGCAGCAATCTCATTCTCAGCCAAAAATAAAGCAAAAGCACTTGGATTTTGACCCGACTCAGTGAATCTACCATAATATTCACCACCTCTATCAGATCTTACACTTTTAATTCGTCTGCCAAGTTGATTTTCAACTTCAGCTTTATAGAGTTTGAACATATCCAGTGCTTCTGATTTTTCACGAATAAGATACACATAAGTATACCTAGAAAAGTCATCAATAAAAGTAATAAAATATTTATGTCCAGAAATAGTTGGAACAGTAAAGGGACTACATATATCAGTATGAATTGTGTCTAATAATTCAGTAGTCCTAGTAGCACCCTTTTTCTTTGTCTTTGTGTATTTTCCTTTAATGCAATTCACACAAGTACTAAAATCAGAAAAATCAAGTGAACTTAAAATTCCGTCTTTAATAAGACGTTCCATCCTTTCTCTTGATATGTGGCCCAAGCGCTTATGCCGCAACATGGATGAATATTCATTCACTCGCTTTTTCTTTTTATTTACCAAGTCGTTTACATTGAAGGATAAAAGAGATTGTGCATAAGTGGAATCTAAATTCAATGAATAAAGATTACCATATAAAATACTAGAACCAATCATATGAGAATTGTGGAATAAAGAGACTCTATTATTTCCAAACTTAAATTCATAACCATAGGAATCAAGTTGTGAAACAGAAATTAGCTTTCTAGTAAAAACAGGAACATAAACTGTGTTTACTAAATCTAAAGTGAAACCAGAGTCTAAAATTAGATAGAGGGTGCCAATAGCCTCAGCGTCCACTTCTATTCCATTCCCAACCGTAATGGTTCGTTCTCCTTTATTTAGTTTCCGACTTGTAAGGTATCCCTACATAGAATTTGTTATGTGAATACTTGCACCAATGTCAATCTACCAAGAATTTGGTGGAACATCTACCAAAAAGGATTCATAAGACACAAAGCATTGAGTGTTACCTTCCTTGTCCAACCAACTTTTAAAACTTGGACAGTCTTTTCTTATGTGACCTTTCTTTCGACAGAAATGGCATCGAATCTTATTTTCTTCATTAGCCTTGTGAGTTTCATCATTTGCATTCTTCTTCTTCTTACTTTTGCCTTTCTTGAAAATCTTTTTGGTTGGACCCAAGGTGGTAAGGTGAACCATACACTACAGGAAAAAGAGGTTTAGGCGGCGTTTTTTTAACGACGTATTTTTAAACGTCACTTTTTTTAACATTTAACGACGTTTTATAAAACGTCGCGTATTTGTTCAACAAAACGACACCGTCTAATAATAGGAGGCGTTTAAAACGCCTCCGAATGTGTTGTGCCTCACGCGTTTGGTCTCCTCTTTTCAAAGCCTAATTTTGAATCTCAGACTCACCTAAGACCCAAATTTTCGAGCTCTCTCTCTCTCTCTCTCTAAATCTCAGAGCGATTTCGAAGCTCCACCACTGTCTCTCTTTCTCTCTCTAAATCTCTCTCTCAACCCTCTCTAAACCCTTATCAGAGCCATTCAGAGATTCATCGCAGTGATTTCATCACAAAGATTCAGAGTGATTTCATCTCAGTGATTTCATCGCAGAGATTCAGAGATTCAGATCGGTCTCCACCATCTGCACCATCGTCTCCATCATCATCTACACCATCGTCTCCTAAGGTGAGCTCCACCGTCTCTCTCTCTCTGAAGCTCTTCCTTCCCGCCTCTCTCTCTGTTTCAGTGATTGATGAGTTGTATATGCTCTAGTTCGCCCCCAATCCAAGATTGATCCATATGAGGTTAGGGCCCGTGCTAAACAGGTTGTGCAAGATCAGCGCCGTCTGAAGGTTGGTCTTCCAATCTCAGTTTTATCGATTCTTCTCTCTGTCTCTCTCTGTCTCCCTCTCTCTCGATCTCTCAATCTCTCTCGATCTCTGTCTCTCTCGCACAATCTCGTTATATGCGTACACATTATCTGTACTTTTTTTTGGATAATTTTTTTTTCTCCTAAAAATCTCTCTATACAAAAGCTCTCAAATGATCCAATCGTTGATCGATAGTGATGGAAAAAATCAACTCCTGTGAGAAAAGAAACCCTTTCTCATTGGAGGTAAGTTCTAATATATTTGTTTACATGTTTGTTCTGGTTTTGATCTTGTGATTTGAATTGAACAACTCTGTGTTAGCTTTTTGTTCATTGTTTGGGAATTGATATCAATTTATTAGCATTTGTAGTTTGAATGCCATGTTTTGTTCATTGAAAATACTGTTAAGGTAATAAAACGACATTTAATTTTTATTATGTTGGACTGATTTTGTTTTGCCATTAACAGAGGACAAGCATTCTGCACTACTGCTGCTGTCCTGGGTGGAAAGGGCTTGGCATCTCAGATATCTGAGTTCTATCTAATCAGAGAGTAATATGAAAATAAGGGTTTTTAAGATCTATATTAATATTATACCATGTACTACCTTAAGAAATTTTCTATTTATCCTTTTTATATAATATATTATTACAATATCAGATATCAATCAGATTGATTTACTTAGATTAAAGTTTGAGTCAGATATCAATAATCGTATCTTTTTCTTTTTCTTTACTGGTGGGTACTGATGCTTTTACCTTTCATGTTTATGCACTTGAAAATTGGCATTATACCTTTGTATGTCAAAAAGAACTGTGTATCATTCTCTCGCTTATTGCTGTACCATTTGCCCTGGATCAGACGAAGGGTCATCTCCTTTTAATCAAACACAAGATGAAAAATCCGACAAAATAAATTGCTCACTTTGAACAACATATTGATTGGATTTCCAAGTTGATGTAGATTGTTATTGTGACTTGTATATATATAGTTGGTGGAATGTTGAAATTCGAGAACTTCGTTATTGTTTATGAACTACAAATAACTCATTTTGGAGCAGTTGGAGTTGTAGGAGAAAAATGGGCAGATGAATGTGTGGGTTTAACTGTTTCTGATTTAATGAAGTAACTGTTGAACATGATCTTGCGTTTGTCTCATTTTTTCTCCTCCAAATTATTTATTTCTAGTCCTCTCACTGCCACTAATACTATCTCATATTTGAGTTCATGGCCAGTAACCCCATTTATTCATTGTGCATGCCACATCTGTATCTGTTACTAACTGGACTATAATCTTCTGTAGGTCACTATGTTGTAATATGTGGCTATGATGCTATGACAGATGAGTTTGAGATTAGAGATCCAGCGAGCTCTGGGTACATCACTTGTTTTCCCTCTCCTTTAAACATCACTATCCACAAACATTCGAAAAAACAAAAAACAGAGCTGCCTCTTTTTTTTAGTTCTTTTTTTTCTTTTTTTCTTTGGTCATAAGAAGATAATTAACACCTAAGCATGTTGATTAAGTAAAAGAGTTGTGGAATCCTTTAGTGAATGCTTCTTGATGTGTGTTAGTTAATTTGAGAAAATACAGTGAAAAGGTTGGAAACTAGTCTTTTTCTTCCCCAGGATGTGTGTCTACACGTGCATGCACATTTAAATTTGAAATGTTTTGGGTCCATTTGAAGAAATCTAGTAAGTGTGAAGCTTTGTGCGAAATCTCATTAAAAGAAGCATCTTAACCAGAAGTTCACTATGTTTTGAAACTTTACCATGCCATAATGCACTGAGTTTTACAATTTGTGCAAATCTTTGCTTGAGCAATTGGTTTTGTTTATTGTAGTTTCCACTTTGGATGATTGTGCAGGAAACATGAGAAGGTCACATCAAAGCGCCTAGAAGAAGCTCGCAAATCCTTTGGAATTGATGAAGATCTTCTCTTGGTAAATTTAATACATCTTCATAAATTATTCACTCTAGAGGGTATATCTTAAAGGATGGGATCTTCCTTTTATGATCTCATATTGTTTGAAATGTCTTGCTGGCTATATTTTTGTTATCGTGCATTGAAGGAATGGGAGCTATATTCATTTGAAAAGTTATAAAGGATGATACTGCAGATTTTCACTTTCTAGAATTCAGTGTGGCTGCCTGGAAAAGGATAAAAGGCATGAAAAATGAAGTAGCTATTCTCATGTTAAATACTTTGACATTTGTCGTGCCATCTTGTTAAGCGCTACGGGCATGTTCTTTGATGAAAAATGATATTGTTTCTATTTTTCTTTTTTCTTCCCCTTCTTTTTATATGTATTTGTTTTCTTTGAAAGTACCGGAAGGAGGAGTGTCTTAAAAAACTAAAAAAAGCACCAACAAGAGAAGGTTGTTTTAGTGAAAATGAAAATTGGCAGCAATAGCTGTACAAATAATTGCATTTCCCATTTTGGATTGTCCATGCAGATATCTTTGGAGAAGGGAGAGAATCAGAACACCCATTCGGTACAGCTCTCTTCGCTCGTCACTTTTGATAGATGACATTTTATTGTCTCGAATCATGATTATTGAATTACAAAAAAAAAATAAAGAAGAAAGGATTAGATTGGCCTCATCGAACTCAGAGAGGTTCATAATGATTGTTTTAAGTTGTAGTCGGTAGATAGCTTATTCTCCATGTGCCCTTGTATCGTAGTTGAGAAGAAGGGTTATGAAAGGACTGGAGAATTTTAAGCTAATGATATCTTTCTTCAGTAATGATCAAGCTACTTCGATGTGTAGTTCACAGATTGCACATAACACTTGCACTTCAAAAACTTCATACCCGTCACCCAAATTGTGTTCGTCTTAAATAATGTGTCATGAAAGTTTATTAGTTTGTGCAAATACCCTGCATTGGCTCTTGGAAACAACAACGAAAATAACTGGAATTAATTGATAGTGGTTAGTACAGAAAGACTGGCGTTTTCCATTATTTTTCCTCAATCTTTTGAAGAAGCAAACAGAGCCTTAATTGTTTTTCTTTCTTCTGTTCTTTCTGTTTTAAGCATATATTTCCTACTCTATGAATTGGTTAATTTTTTGGGCTATGCATGTTCTCTTTATTTTCCCTTATGGGATTTTTCATCGTAGTGTTATTCATTTCATTGGTCCTTTTATTTTATTTGTTTCTTTATTTTTACCCTCTTGTTACCCTGGTTGATGTAAATTATGATGAAATTTTAAATCTCACAGTTCTGAGCTACTTTCTTTATGTGGTTACTTTTGCAGGCTATTAATAATTAGTTGTGATAATGATTCTTTGTTTTAATTCTATTACAGTTGCCATGTGATGGGGTGAAGATGAACGAGGTAAACACTTTTGATTTTAAAATGTTATTTTTTTTCTTTTTAACACAGAATGGAGCTACCTAGTGGTGGGCCTAAAATGATTATCCAAATTGCTGCAATTTACAACTGACTATGTGATGAAGGACAAGCCATGCCTGCTTACTAAAAATACTTATATCTCTATTATTAACCCCATTCATATTGCTTAATGGCTATGAAGCGCGGACACTTCAAAAGAGGCGTCGTAGTGGTGTTGGATACGCCAAATGGCATGTCACTTCAATTTTACTTTCTTTTTTTGCTGGGACACTTCAGGGACACGCGTGTCCAAATATGGATAATCTATTAATTTATTTAAATATAATGGTTTATATATATATATATATATTTATATAGTGAATTAATGTTAGTTTCTATTAATTTTGATTGTTTGGTAACATAATATTGATCTACATAGCAAATATATGTAAAAAATAAATTTTAAAAAAAAATTGCAGTGTCTCCCGCTGTATCCGTATTTAAATCACCGTGTCCCATGTTCATATCCGTGTCTGTGCTTCATAGCTTAACTCCTTGGAGCCAAAAAAATAAATAAATAAAATTAAATAAGAAAGAAATTTCGGCACGACAGCTTGTATACATGGTCAATAGACTTTCCTTCTAACCAAGTTTTTAATTCTTCATTCACAGTATTAGATATTTAAAAACATCGATGAGTTTTAGTTATATTATTTCTGGAATTATGTTTGGATGACTTTTAACTTTGACTTGTCTTGCTTCTATAGTAACCCATAGAGCTTTCTTGGTTAATCATAAATCTATACAAAAGGGCAACTGAAACTGAGTCCTTTTTGAGTTTATATACATGAATATTTATGCAGTGATGATCATTTGAGATTCTATGGTGCAGTCATATGAAGTGAACTCTAGAGGCGTGGAAATTTTCACAAAAAGTTGGCTTCCAAAAACCTGCTCCCCCAAAGCAATTATTTATTACTGTCATGGTTACGGAGATACTTGCACATTCTTGGCTGAAGGCATGTACTTCGTAACATATATTAGAAAGTAGATTCATATTGTGAGACAAATGGAATGTAACTGTTTTATGGAATTGTTTACAGGAATTGCTAGGAAGTTAGTATTTTCTGGATATGGAGTTTTTGCGATGGATTATCCAGGATTTGGTCTTTCAGAAGGTCTTCATGGATATATTCCAAGCTTTGATATCCTGGTTGATGATGTCATTGAGCAGTACTCAAAAACCAAAGGTACAGTACCTAATAATTTGTTTTTCTTTGCTACTATATTGGGATTTCTTTGTGGGAACTCTATAGTTAGAAGCTAGAAACATTTGCATTGAGAGATAGGATTGACTCCTTTACACACTAAACTTCTTATTATGTTTGTTTGGTCATTGTCATGTTTCAAAGAAAAGAAAAGATGAAAGAAACAAGAATAACATTGGAAGATTGTTAAAAAGCCCAACCAGCTAGCTCTTTGGAGCTCCAAAGAATGGAAAGAGCTATGGGATTAATGATGTTGCAAAGTTAATGTCTCCTTGTAACTAAAACAAACTTTTTCAGTTTGTGTCCTAACTCCAACTCAAATAAACTTCCTAGTTTGATCAGGACAATAATTGACCAATTTTAAATATGCTAATTTTTCTTTTCTAGAAGGTTCATACTCGTCATTTGGCAGCTACTCTGATAGATCCTATCAGCAAGTTCCAATCCTTTTGTTTGAAATTTCTTCATTCAATGCTAAAGCTCCAACCTCGAGAAATCCAAATGCATCCAAAGCCTAAAAAGATAATTGAAGGTTAAAATTTAATAAATAAGCCATTATAATTTTTGTTTTATGCCTAATTGATTATTAGAGAGGTGATTGAGCATCTCTTATAAGGTAAGTTGAAGTATAAGTAGATGTCATTGGCAAATAGAAAACATGAAGGAAATTTGTAGCATGTGCTTGTTTACCCTAACTCTGAAGTTGGCTTCCAGGCTATCCTTGCTGCAGTCAATATTACCAGAGTCTTTATCCCCCATTGCATTCAGTATTTATAAAAAATAAGAAATATGAAATCCTCTATTGCCCTCCGTGTTTATACCTTGGCATTGTAATAGAAAGTTGCAAGATTCTTCATTTTATTCCTGAATGGAAACTGGAATCCATAGTTTGAACTCAGGCTGCTTTGGAGGCACCAAGGATTTTGAATCTAAACAACAATAAATATTTCTCTGGACCTTATGGTATGTTCCATTCTCAAAGTTTGTACCTTTATCTATCTATTTATTTTTCATTCTATTATAAATGGTGTAACATATCTGTCTCGTACAAATGCAGGGGAGGATGTTGTCTTCATTGCCAATGATTGGCACACTGCTCTTCTTCCATGTTATCTGAAGACCAAGTACAAACCTATGGGGATCTACAAGAATGCCAGAGTAAGATTGCTCAATTACGTCGTTAAGAATTTCAGGCAAAGAATAAAATTAAAACAGAAGAATTTTAGCCAAATGACAAGGACTATTTGTTGGGATTTAACACTAGTACTGACAAATGATGGCAGGTTGTTTTCTGCATCCATAACATTGCCTACAAAGGGAGATTTCCTTTTGCAGACTTCTCTCTTCTCAATCTTCCGGAACAATATAAGGGCTCTTTTGATTTTATTGATGGGTATGTATGCAGATTTGAGTATTTGAAATTTGCTATTACCGGAGATGTCTTAACATCGGATGGAATTTTCCAACTGCTATGGTTTGAGAAATTTTTTTCTCTTGTCAAGTTATGACAAGTTTTTGCATGTTGCAGGTATGACAAGCCTGCCAAGGGAAGGAAAATTAACTGGATGAAGGGTGGAATATTAGAATCAGACAGGGTCGTAACAGTGAGCCCATACTATGCCCAGGAACTTGTTTCTGGTATAGATAAGGGTGTGGAATTGGATAACATCATTCGTAAGACCGGTATAACTGGTATTGTCAATGGCATGGATGTCCAGGAGTGGAATCCATCTACAGATAAATACATTGATGTCAAATATAATGCCACAACTGTAAGATTCTTCTAATTCTTTTTCTACTGTCTTAAATTTCCATTAATCTCTCAATATTTTTGTGGCTTTAAAAAGCCTTAGCATATTACAATTGTGATTTTTTTAGGTCATGGCTGCAAAGCGTCTTTTGAAGGAAGCACTTCAAGCAGAAGTTGGGTTGCCTGTGGACGCAAACATCCCCTTGATCGGATTCATTGGTAGACTAGAAGAGCAGAAAGGCTCGGATATCCTAGCGGCTGCCATTCCTAAATTCATTAGAGAGAATGTTCAGATTGTAGTTCTTGTAAGTTTAGTGTTTTTTTTTTCTTAGGTAACTTTTTTTTTTTAAAGAGAACTTTTATTTGTCGCTTTTTTCTAGATATGGATCGGTAAACCCTGTTTTTCCCCCTGTTTGGCTGCTGCTTTTAAAACTTAATGAATCATGCACAATTACTTGCTTAAATTGATCATTCTTTCATGATTTGATTTTATTTTTTAAGAAAACACTGTGCTGGGTCACGAACGAGGAGCCTTGCTTTCATAGTGCCTCTGCTACCACTTGGCTACAAGGCCTGTGATTAGATTTCAAACCAGTTGAGAAAAGTTAGTTATTATTGTGTTAATCCTATGTTTGTGTCTCTAAGCCATCTTTAGGGTCTTTTCACTCCAAATATCATTCGACTGGTGGTTAATGGTTTAATTTACCTATTCATTTTTTTAGTACGCATTGTCTATTTTGTAGCTCAAGATCCTCATCTGCTATCATTCTTTCTTGATATTGCAGCTAACTATGACGGAAATCGATTCATAACCATTCAGGATGGTGTGTGGAAAGTAAGTCCTTGATGGGTTTTCTTAGCGCAATATTTTTGCAACTTTGCTGCATCATCTATTCAGCATACTTAATAAGAGATAATTTTTAATTGCATGGAAGGACTTCAAAATTCTCTCTGGATCAGCAGATGACTTCTTTTATTGCACAGAAATTTAAAGGCCATTGATTGTGTTAAATTATAGTTTAAATTGACTTTTAGTGGGCATCAAACATTTTTGGCAGGCCACACTTTTACTTCTGACAGTGGCAGTTGTTGAGCTCAGTGATATTGCATTTGCAGTGGGTTCCCTTTGTCCCTGTCCATGTTAGGTGTATACATTCAAAGAGCTTGAGGATTTTGTAGTTAGTATTTTAGTGATAATTTGATGCCCATTTTCAGGTTGACTCTATACCAGCAGTTTTTGGTGTTACTCGAGACCCTTCCGTAGTTTTCACATCTAATTTCTTTGCCATCTTAGGTAACTCTTGGTCTTCATTCTTCTGATTTCTCTCAAAAGTAATTATAATTCAAGCTAAATTCCATCCGTTAAATTTCTCCCCTGTTTATGTGATCACTTATGCATAAAATCTTCTTGTTAGTGTTTCTTGGTATGTGATAAAATCTTCTTGTTAGTGCTTCTTCAAGTACTGTTTATAAGTATTGGGTACAAATTCTTTAATTTGTGTTTATTTTGGTGAATCTGATTGCAGTTTATGTTTTGATGCAGGCATGTAGACCAGTGAAGACTACAAATTTAATGCTAAGACATGATTTTTAGATATATGTTAGTTTGTGGCTAATGTTAAGACATGATTTTTTTGATATATGTTAGTTTGTGGTTAATGTTAAAACATGATTTTTGGATTTTGGATATGTTAATTTTGTGGGTAATGGTGATTGGATATTAATTGAATGAGAAAGTGAATTAATGTTTCATTACAGGTATTTTTTTAGTTCAATCAAATAAAATGTTTCATTACAGGTATTTTTTTAGTTCAATCAAATAAAATTAACACAATTTCAAAAAAAAAAAACGGTATATGACGGCGTTTCTACAAACGCCTCTTAAACCTTACTTATTAACGGTCATTATTTCAAAAAAAGAAATGACGGCGTTTTTCCAAAACGTCGCGAAATATTGTCAGTGATGTCAGTGTGTGTTTAGTAGGACATTTGGCGGCGTTTTTAAAAACGCCGCCTATACTAATCTCACGACGTTTTTAAAACGTCACAAAGCTATAGCGACGGCCGCGTCCTCGGCGTTTGGTGTTAAGCGTCGCAAAAGGATTTGGCGGCGTTTTTGACACTTATAGCGGCGTTTTTTAAACGCCACTAAAAGTCTATTTTCCAGCCGTGATATCAGGCTTTTCAGCTTTAAGCCTCTCTTCTTTTTGAACACACATGACAATTAACTCACTTATCTTCCACTTATCTTTCTGCGTATTATAATTGATCTTAAAAGGACCAAATTGCGCAGGAAGAGAAGTCATAATGAAATGAACAAGAAAACCTTCAGAAATTTTTATGTCCATTCCCTTTAATTGAGAGGTCATGTCATTCATCTTTAAGATATGTTCACGAACACCACTTAAACCATCATATGTCATTGTCATCATTTTAATCATGAGAGTACTAGTAAGGGATTTGGAGGTTCCAATGAATTGTTGTTCAATATATTTCATATAGCTCACTGCATTTTCAGAAACAGGGATTGCTCCTTGAATTGCCGGCATAATTGAGCCTTTCATAATCATTAGACTTAAGCGATTAGAGCGTTCCCATTTTTCATATAAAGCCATGTGTTCCTTAGAACTTGTATCATTAGGCTTTGTAGGAGCTGGCTCTCTTAATGCATAGTCTAAATCCATAATTCCCAAAACAATTCCAATTTGTTCCTTCTATTTTTTAAAATTAGTTCCACTCAAAGCTTCAATACCTGACAAGTAACTATTAATTGCAGTAGGATTCAATGCTGCAAACACATAATATCCATTACATAATATAATCAAGAAAACTACTTTTAAAATCTCATAAAAATAACACCATAAGTTAAATATGTCTAACTATAAAACACAATTAGTTAGATACGAAATCAAGTTATCCTTCCGTTGGGCCGAATAACAATATATTTTAACAATTCATAAAAATAAATGAGATGACTAATAAAAATAAACAACATAAAATAAAATAAAATAATCATTAAGACCGTAACGAGTTTATCACCGTTGGGCAGAAAAACTCAATGTCTTTTATTTTATTTTATTAACTAAAGCACGTGAGAAGTTTATTACCGTTGGGCAAAAAAACTTATTGCTATATTTATTATACTAATCATCTCGGTTGTTCAAACATACATAGTGTTGAACCTCCGTTGGGCTAATCAACAATGTTTCAACTCATAAGGTGTGTAACAAAACATTATAAGTGCATAAAACATTATCTTAATTACCACTTGTTCAATAATTTTTAATTTTTATTTTAATATCAATAGAATAAAAGATTGGCCAAAAATAAAAAATAACATTGGACAAGTGTAAATCAAAGTTTTGCACTTGTTACACAAAAATCATCATAAAATGAAATTCATATTCATACGTTTCATGCATAAGAATTGAGAACCATTGCTCTGGTACCAATTGATAGAAAACTTTGCATAACATAAACTAAAAACCATTAAGGATTCAATTCTATACATGAAAATTATATGAATTTTTACTATACGAAATAAGTGAATACATACCTTGATCCATGATAGTATGAAATCCTCTTGCAAGAAAGAGAAATCTTGAATGGAAGATATTGATCTTTAAGTTCTTTACTTGTCTAAGATCTTCAAACCACTTCTCTTTCTCTCTTGGTGATGTGAGCCTTATTGTGGTGACAACTTGAGTTTTTGATGGAGAGTGTGGTTTGGGACCTTACACTATTTATACTAGTATTCTTTCTATCAAAGAATCCATTCATTCAATAAATTTCATTAAATAGATTAATGTATCTTATACATTCATGATACATAATGCATCTTCTGTATTAATGAATTCATAATAGATAGATTAATGTATCTTACATATTCATAATAGATACATAATGCATCTTTAAGATTCATTCATAATGAATCTATTACATTCAATGCATTATCATTAGTCTTCTATACATTATGTATATATAGGTGCATTCATCCATAATTAGTCACCATCTAATTGGCCGGAATTCCTATAGACGTGGCCGGATCCTGTCCACCCACGTGTCACGATCGTGGTGGTTTTGCTTGGAGATAAAGCAAAGGTGCACAGAATTCCGCGTGAATGAACAGTAATGGGCGGGAATTCAAATTTTAAATTCCGAATCTCCGTATTTACAACTGTCTATATATCTGGGTCCACCCAATGTTAGTGGGTTGGTCAGAGTAAATGTTTATGATCGGAGGTTAGACGGTAATGACAGTTTGCAGGCATGGTTTATTTTCCCAGTAGATTGTCAATGCGAGTTAGTCTATTATGGGAATGGTTATTGTTCAAAAGATTTGGAGTTATTTATAAAAAATGGAAGGAATAGGAAGCAGCCATTACCGGACCCCCCTTGCGTACCGGAGGTCAAGGACACCGGCGGGCAGTGGATATAGGCGTAGTTACCGTAGTCGTGTACCTTTTAAGACCCAGTATGTTTGCAGACGGTACGTTCAGAATATTTCCCGATTTATTAAGAAGACTAAGAGGGGAGTAAGGAAATTATAGCTATACGATGAACAATTAAGGGACGTTAAGTTTGATAATAAAGGCGTGGCGAGATTACTTAATGGTATTGAGTTGGGTAATAAGAGATGTGACCGTCAATCAGACAAGATTGTGGTTAAGGGTATCAAATTCATTGGTAATGTTCAATTGGGACAGGATGCTAAGGACGAAGCTGTGGTCCACTACGTGTTGTTTTTTGTCATCCGTGATAATAGTCCGTCAGATTCGTCCCTACACCTGACAAGATATTTATTGGAGTTGGCGAGGGTAATCCTGAGACTTGGATTGTTGATCCTGACCAGTCTGACCGTTTTCGGATGCTAAAGAAAATGAGATTCAAGCTTGTTGGTGGCAAGGACAAAGCGTACGCTCGTCACGGGACAAAAGTTGTGTACCGGTTCTTTCCAGTTGATGTTTGGACGGACTACAAAGATACGTTGTTGGGAAATGTTGGAAGCATTCAAAAGGGTGCCATATATTTAGTGGTTGTTACTGTTAGTGGAAAGGAATGCAAAATTACTTTAAGGAGTCAAATGTACTTTAAAACTGTTTAGAATTGTAATTTGATGTATTTTTATTTTTAATGTTCAGGTTAATGGATGTGGACGATATAAAAACTAGGGTTGTTGAAGGTGTTTCGGCAAGTGATTTGAGTTGTATTGAACTTGCGTTGCCTAATTTATTTTCTCAATTGAGGTTAAGATACAAACAAAAAAGTATTAAGGTTGATAAAATATTGATAAAATATTCCCCCCTTTGCGCACCCAATGCTAGTGGGTTGGTCAGAGTAAATGTTTATGATCGGAGGTTAGACGGTAATAACAGTTTGCAGGCATGGTTTATTTTCCCAGTAGATTGTCAATGCGAGTTAGTCTATTATGGGAATGGTTATTGTTCAATCAACGACAAACAGGTGCCATAGATGGTGAAGTATCGACTTGAAAATTCCAATATTAAAAGGGGGGTTACGTATTGTAAAATGAAGGGGTATCTGAAGTATTCTACGAGTGACATGCCAGAAGATTCGCAAATGAGGGCCCCCTCTATTGTTGTGTTATCTAAAAAATATACTAATGATAATGTTGATGTCTGGCATTGTCCTCCAACGAAGGCCATTTCGATTCTGACACGGACTAAGTCTGTTGGTTTACCGGAGAGGCGAAGAGATTTGTTGTTGGGAGGTTTTGGGGAAAGTGGTTCAGTCATTCATGAACGCAGAGGTCGTCTGAGTTTGTCAGAGATTGATGTACGCAGAGGTGGTGATGAATCTAGTGATGTTGATCCTGGTTCGTCGATTTCAGAGGTTGGTGTTAGCAAAGAGGAAGTTGATCGTAGAGGATCAGTTGTTATGGATGCAGCTGAATTTTCTAATGTTTTACGAAATGTAATCATCAGTGTAAAAAATAGTGATGTGACTCAAGATGTAATAGTGGATGATAAGGAAAATGTAGTAAGTAAATAAAACTTTGAGTGGTTTCATAAATAAAATTAATAAAATTTTTCATTAATCATGACAGTGGTTACATTAACATCAAACCATTCTCTTATTTTTGGGGACATTGCATCTAACCAACTATTGTCCCCATTTGTTAATAAAAGACAAGGAATTCCTCCTCTAATAGTGAGATCTGGTTGGAACTTAACAAATACATGGAAATCTCTCTGCCAGCCTACTAAATTCTTCATTAATTCGGTAGGGACTGTCGAGTATTTGATGTCGTTTATCACGTTGTAGGCTGCGTCTTGGTCGTAGTCCTTGAAGCTTATTCTGCCGGAGAAGTAATTGTGTCGTCCGAGGCTTCTGGCCCAGGCGGTTTTGCCTGTTCTTGAGGGTCCTTCGAGGTAGAGGGAGATTGGGCAGATGGGCCTCTGCTCTGGTTCCTGTTATTAGAGGAGGAGGAGAGTTCTTCGTCAGTATATAAATTGTTTATATTATTTTTGTGTATCTCTAATCTAAGGAAATCGTCTTCCCTCCAAACGGAGAGACAGCAATTTTGACAT